CAATTTCCAATTTTGATTCTTAAACACAAATTATCAAAAATATTATAAAAACGTAAAATGTAATTACGAGTTTGCTTTATCTGTAAAGTGTAAAAAAATATTTTTTTTTACTGTAAATGGAACTTTTATTTTATTTTCTGTGAAAACGTAAAATACCGTTTTTAATTCCTGTAACCTGTACCAGCTCCCCTCCTTGCCCCCCCTCTTCTTAAATCTGGCGATCAGTTTAGTATGATGAAAAGTGTGCACATTTTCCAGCAAATTTTGGATATCGGTACAAAGCCGACTCGTATATCGTAACTGTTTCAGTTGGTATATGGCACATACTTAAGTATTACCTCCTTCATACGTCAAAGACTACAAACAATATATCGTGACAACTGGAGTACATTTGTATTGCCATAAGTATGCTGCCCTCACTGGCAGTTTTATTGATGTCTTGAAATACTGACGTCGAGGGCGCTGCCATGTCTTCAGTTATGTCTTTCTGTTCAGTCTCCGTCACTCCAGTATTAGTTTGAAGGATGTCTTCAGTTATGTTTTTCTTTATTGATCACATATAGACCTATATATCTCACCCTTAATCGGAGCGGATTTAAGGGGAACCAAGCAGTTAAAATCTTCAAGGCGGAAGATAGAAGACAACATTCAACTTATTCAAATGAACTAATTCACAGATATACATTTCGAATAGCACAAGTGGTAATATCAATACAGTTTGGTACAAAACGTTTAAATGGTAAACCAGGAAAAAAGTCGTGGTGGGTTAAAGGCCATACCGGTCACTGTATACTTCTATATGTATTCATCCGCTATGGCGCTGTGATTGGTTAACCGTCATTTGTAACGTTTATAAATAGTTTATATACAAAAACAATCATAGCATTGTGAAATGACTGGTCTTCCACGTTCGATATACAAGGTTTGACTATTTGAAATGGGGGGGGGGGGGTACTTTCAAGTATACATGTATCCAGTTTTTTTTTTCACTTAATTTTTTTCATTATATAAAGAAAGACAGAATGCTGTAACTTAGTTTATTTATAAAGATATTTATACAAATTTGTAAATACCGATCATCAGCTATTTTTTGCTTGTGTTATGAACAAAATGTTGTGTTCAAGGAACTTTCACTCGCTTGGCTGATAACACTTAAAATATCTATTACATTATCTGTTATCTATTATCGGTTGCTCCTTTTGGTGCATTATTGGTTGCGAGTTGTTTTATTACAATATCTGTTGACTCGTGTTACATTATCGGTTAATGATACATCGAATCAGGAATTTATTACATTATCAGGTTCAACAGTAGGTAAACAAATAGTGAGACAGCTTAATTTTCAAAGCCATGTCTAGAATCTCGTCACACCATCCAACTAACGTGTTTTCTCAGTACCTCGAATACAACGTGTCTCTTCGATTCGTGACCACGACCAAATGACTTTTGAACTTCCGGGGTCGACACGTTTTGTGTTCTACACTACAAATCACATATATTACACGATGTACACCGAATAAAATTATACAAATGAAGTTTTCAACGTCTTTTTGACATTAAACTTGTCATCTCTATTCAATTTATGTTACCTATTTTTACACGTCAATGGAACACATCAACTCAACAAAATGTATGGAATATTGGTTGACCAATATATTAAACCCTAAAAACACACCAATAATTTTAGGAATACAGTTCTTACTATCCTCGTTCGACTGAGAATCCAAAATGGGAACTATTCGCTCATATAAACTGTTATTTTTCCGGGAAAATATGTTTTTATTCAGCATCCTGTCTTATGACGGTGTCAATTCAGATATAATACCAAGTTCAGATCATGCCCATTTATTTTTTTTTCACTTGCAATCTAATCTATTATGCGACTGTTGTTATGTCCTAATGATACAGTGAGCCTACTTCTGTTTCACGTGTTTACGACTAAACCAGAGGCATGAACTAAGCCGGCCGCTAAAACTCTATATAAGTGATAATAATGTTAACATTTGCACTTACTCAAATGTTTCAACATATTTTGGACAACCTATAACAAGTTGATTACTGATAAAACACACTCAAGAAGATCGTCAATCAGCCCTTTGATTGTGTTATCATGATGCAAATTTTCATGTCGACTTTTCCCGAGATGCAATGCGCGTAACACAGTGAAAACGTTCCAAATATGCGAGCGTTTGTATTCGAGGTACTCAGAATCACGCCACAAAAAACACAATTATTACGGAATTGAAATTGAGATAAGTCACTCTATACAATCATAAAGAAACATATTTATTTAATATAATAAATGTGCCATCCAGCTCTTGGAATTTAAAAATTTTAAACTGTCATTTTGAATTTATAAAAAAAAACAAAAAAACAATATATATTTAGATAAACGTTTTTAACGTACCCTGCTTTCTACTACTCACTGTAGTGACATATACCCTGTTTTAAGGAACTCACCGATTTTAAATTTAACTATTGAATCGTAGCTGACCCTTCCACCCATCCCCATTTAGTTCAAAATATTGGTCCGTATCTGTTTTAAGGCGACATTTTGCTCACCATTCTCAACGAGGATTCCTTATCTGATTCGGTAAACAAAATTCTGCTGACCATTTTGATCACCATTTACCTACCCTCAACTGTTGGGAAACTCAAAGCGGGAGGATCGTCACCTGCGACGATAACAACACACACTAATTACGCAACGACCATGGGTAGACGCTTGTTTGTAAACAATGACACGCTATGGCCACCTGACGCATGCGTAGGTAACGACTCCCCCGCTTTAACATAGTGGTGACAAAACATTAAACTGGTGGTGGCGCTGTTTCTATTAAATGTGAAACCATAAATATTCACAATCAATGCTGTCTCACTGCGGAATACGACATAACACATTGTTTATATTCCCTCAGATCACAATCATTAAAATACAAATCATAGACAAAGACATTGTAAATATAAACATAATAAGATTTTTGTATATTTTCATTTGACTAATTTGTTTAGCGAATTCCAGCATAACTGAACAGTGGTTATATCAGGGTAACGACCCATGTAAATCCATGTAGAAGTTGGTGTATTTAATTTCCATATCTCAGATACGTACCTAGAAATATATGTCAGCTAGTTAGCTTAGACTCGGTTCCAGTCTGTTGCCGCTGTGCGACTGTGTATGGTAGCAAATACGTACTGTCGAGGACAACATGACAAACAACTATATAACGACAACTATATACGCGCGACCAGGGACAGAGAATGGAAATCGAGTCTAGATTGTACTGTAACAATTACAAAATACATGTTGCACATAAACTGTCGGGGTTTAATGAGCTGATTTATCGCTCCCCCCCAAAAAAATACACGATCACTCTTCACATTAATATCTATCAACCTGCCATTGAATATCATGAATATCACGTTAGATATCAGAATGAATATATCACATTAGATATCATAATCGATATATCACATTAGATATCACAATGAATGTATCACATTGGATATCACAATGAGTATATCACATTAGATATCACAATGAATATGTCACATTGGATATCACAATGAATATATCACATTAGATATCACAATGAATATATCACATTATATATCATAATCGATATATCACATTAGATATCACAATGAATATCACATTGGATATCACAATGAATATATATCACATTAGATATCACAATGAATATATCACATTAGATATTACAATGAGTATATCACATTAGATATCACAATGAATATATCACATTAGATATCACAATGAGTATATCACATTAGATATTACAATGAATATATCACATTAGACATCACAATGAGTATATCACATTAGATATTGCAATGAATATATCACATTAGATATCACAATGAATATATCACATTATATATCACAATGAATATATCACATTAGATATGACAGTGAATATCACATTTGATATGACAGTGAATATATCACATTATATATCACAATGAATATATCACATTAGATATCATAATCGATATATCACATTAGATATCACAATGAATATATCACATTAGATATCATAATCGATATATCACATTAGATATCACAATGAATATCACATTAGATATCACAATGTTATCACATTATATATATCACAATGAATATATCATATTATATATCACAATGAATATCACAATAGTTATAACAGTGGTCTACAATATCCAGTGTTATGTAAGTATATCGGGACCGAGTCGGCACGTGCCGAAAAAACTCAATCTTAGTCCCGATAGATGCTTGGGCCGTGCCGAGATTTGCTGCCTGAACTTGAAGCTCGGCACGAAATGAAATTGCGCTTTCGATGGTGAATTTAAGAGAACATATACTGATTCATGCTATTAAGACATGACGATGGAGGGAAGTGATGCTATATATTGTCGGATGCTGTAGTAATGAATTAAATATTAAAATAATTGTTTTTCGAATCTTCTTTGCCGTTCATGTGCACGATGATACCATTACAACAAATGGATATAACTTCAATATAGCAATTATTATTATCGTCATACGCGTATCGTTTTCCATGTTTGGGTCAAATAAAAAATCGACGAATGAGGGCGTGATTTCGGTTCGAGACGAGTGGGTCCCGATTTTGACTAATGTGAACGCAACTGCTCACGTGGCAACTGCTGTAATCTCTCTTCAAACATGAAGGATTAAAAAATTCGGCACGTGCCGAGATCCCGTATATTATAAAACGTGAACGTAGCAAACAACTAACGAAAGGTAATCTTTCATTTTCAGCTGTTTTGTTCAGTATATTGGATCTAGTCATGATTTAATTTACCTTCAAATGTATCTTGAAATTGGTTACATCAAATTGAAATTCTCAGAGTAAGCTGATTTAAGCATTTGTAATCACCTTGGTTACATGGCCATTGCTGCAGTTTGGCCACTGAAATGAAAGGCTTTAGTAAGACTCCCTAACTTCCCTGAAAAGAGCGTATTCCTCAAGTAACCCATCAGCTGTCATTTTCTCTTTCCCGTGCTGTTCCTGGGGCAGATTCAAAGCGAAGCAACAGCAGAGCAAACCGGCGCAATTTTGTCTGTATCTCAGCTGCATCGAGATTACATTATGGCCAACAACAAGCACGATGTTATCGTTATTGGAGCTGGGTTGAGTGGTATGTTTTTTTCGTATCTTCTATTTGTAAGATATTATTGATGCGAAGCGATGCGTTGCATTGCAATTTGTTGACTATAAAGTTAAACGTTAACTTACAAATTTTGATCATTTTTTGTGAAAACATAAATTGTTGTCTGAGGATGTGCAGCATCATCTGAATCCCTGATTGTTCTCTGTATTATCAAGACGTGCCCAGACGTTTGCACGATTACGTGCAAATTTAAATTATTATCTGGTCAATTCTAAACGTTTGACCTCCTGTCCACACCCATGCATTGTGTTTGACCTTGACATCAAGACAAAACATTGGTATTTTTTATAGCTTATGGGGTCTTTACGACTTGTGTTACCTTACTAGCTTTACCGATAAATCATGTTAGCCAGTGATTATGTTTATTCGGAGTGTACCATATACCCGGCACACATGTCGAGGGACGAAATACGTTCCATGAATCCGTGTAACCGTGCGATTCCGACGGTGGTTAAAAATAACATGGATTATTTCGTGGAATGTAAACTGACATTTGGGTGTGACTGGGAATTCAAATCGAATAGTCGTTATTTACAGTCTTGAAGTGTAAACATACAACATGTACATATTTGCTCTCAGGGGAAATATATAAATGATATATACAACCGAGAAATTGTTTTAGTTTTTGATAGAAGACATAATAATTAAGGTAGGAGGATAATCTTGTTAAGGCAGTAGCCTTCTTATAAATGAATGAATCACTAAATAGCTAATTGAAAAAATCTGAATTTTATTGGAATACTTCTCAAAGGAGTTTTTGACACATTTAAACAATGCTATGTTTTTGCATAATATGCAATGTCTTTGGAAAGGCTAAGATGTAATGTATATTTGATTTTTTATTGTGTCATTGGTCAAATTAAAAAAAAAAAATATGTTGTGGTTCCTAAATATATATTTGAAGAGTATATATATATATATATATATATTTTTATAACTGTGTTTTATTTTTTCTCCTTCATATAAGAACTGTTTTTACACATATGAGTGCATAATCATGTTTAAATTTATTTACAGTACCCAGTTTTGTAAAGTTTTGAATTTCTATAGGGTAGGTAGGATTATAGGAACCACAATTTGTTTTGTACTCAGCCTTATCAGATGCACTTGCACTATAGCCTATTTTGAAAGCAGTCGGTGAATTCTGTGGAACAGTTATGTTTTACAATTTTGGGTATTTTAGTATGGAATTTATTTTCACTGAATTTTGACAAGTTGAATTTGATATATGAAAAAAGGTATATTCGCTGGATTTTATTTTCACTGAATCATTCAGTGAAAATAGCGAAAATTAATTCCAAGCGAAAATAAAATATTTTACAGTATTCCTTGATTGGTATATTCACAATGGATGCTAACATGTCACCAGCAACATGCACAAGGTTTCTCATGATTTGCACTATTTTGTATGAGATTGTAGCACTGCTTAATAAATTATAGTATAATTTGTGTTTAGTAGTCGCTATATTTTTTTCTGTATTTTCTACTATTTGAATAGTGAATCACACTTGGACCCTATCAAATCTACTACATTTACTTTTTTTAGTGCCACATGTTTCAAATGTACACTGATGTTCTTTAATGTCGATTAGTCTCGTCGCATGATGCTTTTATTTACAAATAACTACCTAGCATGTTCAAATTCATATACTGGTACCGGTATCAATCTTTTCAAATGATGTACATGAATGGTAAATCAGAATAACTCTATCACTGGTCTGAAAAAGCTCTGCATTCTGTTTTTAGGAATGCTTGTAATAGAGAATCAAATTATTCATTCCTTATTTAATTAAAATACCCTGTTAATTACAGAGGGATTGTGGGTAAATAAAGGTACCGTATTGCGTGAGAATTTTTTTTTTCTATGAAACTCTGCTACAATATTTATTGCATGTAAGGCCACCAGTCACTAGACTAATGAGTCCCTTAAATATAATATTCAGGTCAGAAAACCAGGCACCTTCTGTAGAAGCCTTATTCTGGATTATCCAATGGTATTACAGATGCTGACTGTTCAAGTAGTATCGGTAGAGCTTGATGCTTGATTTCTTATTTTACTCACACAATACAATGACATTTTTGTGAGAATAGATTTCATTATACTCTGTACTTTGAGCTTACACTGATTTTAAGACATAATACATTACCATTCCCGAGAATGTAGACTTGTACTGTTTCAACAGTGATTGATAGTTGATATATTGAATTACAGTTATTATGGTTGACCATTAACGTTTCGTTTCATATAGACATATATGTTTATACTTGAACTTGAAGCTATCTTTGTGTTTGAATGAGAAGAATTTATTACATTTTTGTTTATTAATTCCTCTTAACGGTTGGCAGCAAGGTTTTATTGCTGGTTGGAAGAATTACAATGAATTAATGATGATTTATTTTTGATAGGCAATGAAGGTTACATTTTGTTAATGCCCAATGAGTCCCATAGTGTTAGTAATTGGTCATTTTAGTATGCTTTTGGTGTGGTTTCAGAGAGACTACATCAGTAATATGTTTTCCAGAGAATGCAATCTGCAGCCTGTAAATACTTCATGGTTGCAGGGTGGGGGCTTGTAAGTATGTACTTTACTAACCTTGCAATGCAGCTATTGAATGAACCTTTTTATAGGACTCCTTACAATAATGAAGATTGAGGTTTAAAAAGATTAACTTTGTGCACAATCCCTCTATCATATAAAGGAATACAGACTGTGCACGAAATAATTAAATATCTATAAACCTTCACACTATGTAGTGTGCGACTGACTACAAGCTATGGATGATATAAACGTTTATAAATATGGCTGTGAGATTACTCATTGACCAATCAGTGGCTAGATCCTGGTGGGAAGACAATTCAACCTTCATGATCCCTTTTGTAAAAACACGTACTATACATTTGTCTTGGTTCTGTAAGCGCAGCCAAGACAGTGAGAATTTATTTGAAACGGTAATTGCAAAGCTTTGACATCGCCCACACTTAACTCTTAGCATTTAAGTGTTCAACATTTTCTGTTTTGTCATTTGCAATACAAATTTTACATGGTAATTCACTCCTCTACACATATAAACATATTTAAACACAATGTACCGGTATTGCTACCGTAAAATCTGTATTAGAAGCCGCATCCCTAATAGAATCCGCATCCATTTGTTATGAACAATTGAGACCTAAAATTCACCATTTCTCATATGTGTAGATGCTCTAATAGAAGCTGCATCCCTTCCATTGCATTTTACCAATTTATTAGAAGCCGCGGCTTTTAATACAGATTTTACGGTACTTTGTTTTTAGAGGCAAAATTTGAAGTGGATTTCTAAATTTTGGACAATAGTTGCACATTCTGTGAAATACTTTACTTTATATGGAATCAAATTTCGTTGTAAAGACATTCTGGCAGTTTTGTATGAATTTGAATTTGTGATGAAAAGAAGGAAATGGTTGTGAAAAGGTTAAACTCTGGAATGTAAAAGCATTGTCAGTCTCCCTGTTGCACTAAGTACAAAAATCCAACTGTCTTGTCGAAACATAAACTGTCAGCCAATTAATGAGTATGTTTGCCAACTTCCTGCTCCAATACTTCTGAGACTTCTCTGTTGTATTAAAATTGTATTTGAGTTGCAATCCTGTATATATGATTTTATTTTAATTGAAATGCTTATTGAAATAGAATTGTAATTAAATTCCTATCTTTGATTTCAAATTAACCGTTATCCTGCCACCCTATATACTCTTAGAAGTAAGAGGTAATTGTACTTTATATCTTATTTGAGTTGCAATTTGATTTCTATTCATAATTGCAATGTAATTAAACCTAATTAAATTTAATTGGAATTAAATTTAATGGAATTCATCTAAAAACACATCAATGTTTATTTTATTTAATGTAGCACTTTGAGCTGGTATTTACGTGTGAGTGTGTATTTGTGTTTTATTTATTTGGCATTGTGTATGAAACATTCACATTAAACTGTTTTGGGGGTTGTCCAAATTTTAGTTTTGGTTTTACAATTTTTGTTAGACCTTCATTTGTATAGTAATTTTAAGTGCGTTTTATTCGCTATTCCATAGAAATTGATAATCGTGTACTTGCATGGGAAAGATTAATTTAACATGCAATTCATCTATTTACTTACTCAATAAAAATCTCTAGAAATTTGTTGAAAAAATTGAATTTTATTTATCATTAAATAACTATATATAATTATTTATTTTCCATAGAAATATTAAAAAAATCCAAACATTTCCATGAGAAATTTTCTTTAAAATTATATTCTGGTCAAATTCTATAAAAATCCATATATTATTTCTATTGAATTTGTTAAAATTTACTGCCAATTCTACAGACTATTTTCGTAAAGGATTATCCTTTTCCTGATCCAGTTCTCAATTTAAAGTATTATATTACTCTATTTTGGGGGTGTTTTATAATCTAGACATGCAGGTGGCAGACATCTGATCTTTCATAATTAAACATATACCATGACCCCTGTCTGCAAATTGTCTACTCAGCAGATAGGTCAAAATATTAAAGATTCATCCAATTTAAACCTTTCAAGGCTATGTTTAGTGATAAGATTTATGAGTCTTCTCCAAAAACCACATACTTATTCCATTCCAATGTTTGTCCTGTATTTTTAATTGAAATTGATATAAAATGTTGCATATTTATTTTCACATTAGCATAATTCACTTGGATATCATAATGTCTTGCAAAGAAATGTGGGAGCAGCTTTTTGCACATTTGTATGTATTATTCATATTTGTTTTTTTTATTTAATTTTGAATAATATGCACAAAATTAATCATAGGCTTGATGAATATTTTTGTAATAATTTATCATAAATTAAATTTTGTAAAATATTCTCTTTCATCTAATGTAAAAGTGAGTTATTTGTATCCCTGGTAAATCAGTAGTGCATGCCTTGAATAAATCAGCCAACCAGAATAATGCAGTTATCCACTTCATAGGTTATCCTTGTTTTATCACTGATTCTGTTCTATAAATATGTATATATCAATACTTGTATTCGTCTGTCAGCTGATCTACTAACAAATTGAATTATTCCAATGTTCGACAATATAAAATATGCTCCACTAAACAGCTACAGTGATATGGCAGATCAAATTTGTCAGTGGCTGGCTACTCAGTTTCCTCTCATCGCCATGTTTCCATGATATGACAAATTGGCAGTCTATGGTAGGGTAAATAATTATTGCACACAAATTTGGAAAGAAACCTTGTACACATATTTGGGAGAAATTGTCGTAAGGCCTCCAGAAATAATATTCATGTCTTTCTGGTCTTGAGCTTTTTCTTACTGCTTTTATGAATTTTAGAAAAAATTTCAGTTACCGTATCATAATGAAATGAAGCATAAATTTTAAAATAAATAATTTTGAAATAAAAAGCTGTCCACATGTGCCGATTTTGGAAAACAATTTGGCCAAAATTGTGTTTTTTTTTCAAAAGAAATCAACAAAATTTAGATATAGAGCACGAAGTAATTCATATGCACTGGTTAACTAAGAAGCTCCTGATTTTAAAACTAGGGGTGGCCTCTATATTTAACATCTGAAAAAAATTGTTGCGGGTAAAGAGAACAAAAAAACCCATGGTGACCGCATAATTAAAACAAAAATTGGGAAAAATGTGAATATAAAAATTGTCATCGGGTTGACATGGATAAAATATTTGCAAATTACCAAATTCCTGCAACCCTGGGAATCATTCAGATTTCAATTGCGTAACCACTTAGTATATACAAAATAATCGTATGAATATTCATCATTATGAATTATTATAATTGCATCATGGTATTGTATTTCTCTGCAATGATTCATACACTGACTGTACATTTAATGTTGATTCAAAATACTGCACATACATTGTGACATTGGTCTACAATGGAAATTCTGTTTTTTCATGTATTGAATGAAATTGTAATGTTTGAAGTATCACTGTCGCTGCTTTATAAAACTGATAGAATTGTCTATGTATAAATATATAATGACCATAATAATAATTTTATTAAAGTATCAGTTAGTTTAAATAAATATTTGTTCAATCCCCTAGGCTTGGAGAAAAAAAAAAATCAAACTCAAAGCTTAAAAAATGGTAACCATATTGATAATTTCCAACAGTAAAACAGGTTTGATGGATTTTATAAATGTCACTATTAAAATGACAAACTATGGGGTAAAACTGTACCTGCCTGTTACTGGCATGTATGGTTGAAAATTAACAATATCAATTTCTACGTGCTGCACATCAGTAAGTATAATCCAACTGCGTTGTAGCTCAGTCAATGTAATTTACTATCCTGCTTATGAATTCTGGGTAATGCATACTGAACCTGCAGATACAGTACAGTGTTCTCCCTGGAGGTGGTTTAGTCAAAAATGACCAATAAATGAGGGCCTATTTTTCGGTCTTCTGCCCATATTCAGAGTCTTCTACAAAATACACATACTTATTCCAGTCAAATGTTAATCCTGTATTTTTAATTGAAATTGATATAAAATGTTGCATATTTATTATCTCATTAGCATAATTCACTTGGATATCATAATGTCTTCCAACGAAATGTGGTCGCAGCTTTTTGCACATTTGTATGTACCGATATTATTCATATTTTTTTTATTTAATTTTGAATAATATGTGCAAAAATTAATCATCAGCTACAGGTTTGATGGATTTTGTACATGTCACTATAATAAATAACAAAACTATGGGGTAAATCTGTACCTGCATGTTACTGGGTGTAAATAGATCATAAACAAGATCTATTTTTAGCTAGATCTATGTTCATGGTAACTGCAATGCTGTTTCAACCTGATCTACATCGACTACTTTCACCGTTTTTTCAAAACTTTGTTTGAATGAGTTTATCTTTTCAATATTAAAGAAATATCTTGCTATTTTTTGAGCGAGAAATCAATATCGAAAGTCTGTATTCACAACTTTACTAGCATGTTGCATTTTTTCATGCTTGTGAATGACGATAACAGCCTAGCCTAGAGTTCGGCCATTCTGGGTACCCTCGAGAATGGCCTGGTGAATCTCTATGCAAATACGTACTTGACACAGAATTCAATGTCACTGCTGATTGGCTAATCCATGATCCATGATTGGCCATATCCATCCATCAATAAGGGGAGTGGGGAACACAATTTGAGTCACCAAGCAGTTTACATTTGTTTTTCATGTATGACTCCTGATTAACCATTTCATTTTACCTTGATCATCATTAGATGACAGGAGAGGTACGTCTGCCATTGATGTTGTTGTTGTCGTCACCATTGTAAACTTTTTTCATGTGTTTACAATAAGCAGTTTGTATCTGAACTTGTGTTTGCAATACAATGCATACATTTTGTATTACAATTTATTCCTTTCATATTGCCCCCTTAATGCTAACAAAATCTACGTTAGAACGCTATATTATATTCACTTGCCAACATATTTCTGTCTTTTGGTAATTTCTCGTCCATTCATTCAAAACTGTCCATAGTAATAGTTATAACATTTCCTGAATAGCTACAAATAATAGTGTTGTTGTATTTAAGAACCTTGAATTTACTGGCCATCAGTAGCATAGTGGTTGTTGTATCAGTATCATGATCGGTACAACAACAGAGAGAAATCGTGACATTCAACACCTGGAACTGTCGCCTGGTACAAAAATAATTAAAAGGGCAGTACACCAAAATGGCTTGAAATGTCAGGTTCGAAAAAAAGGATACATTTTCAATACACAAATGTATACGTACCGGTAGTGGGGTAGATCTGAATGAATGTCTTTAGCCCACACACATGTTCCAGATATTTTGAACTACCGGGTAGGTCCCGATAATGTATCAATCACTCAAAACTCATTATCTATTCTTTAGAAACAGTTTAAGACTAGAATGTGAAATTATCCTTATCAATATCGGTAGTGTTGTGTATTTGTCATGTAACATATTCTGTCCCATGATGCAACACTATTGGTTTGAAATATTTTTTTTCAAGGTTACTTTTTAACATATTTTAGTAAATTTGTACATAGTCTTGAAGGTTTACACATTTAATTATTTCATTTAGCATATTAGATAAAGTGCGGTAATAGTATAATGTATCATTTACAATCACAGGTTTGAGTGCGGCATGGTTACTTCATAAAGAAAACGTCGATGTGGTAGTATTGGAGGCACGTGATAGAGTGGGTGGTAGAACTTACACGATTCATGTACGTATATGTCATAATATCACATGACAATTCCACCTTGGTGCATTTCATTCACATTAATAACGTTCAGTGTTATTATATCACTAACTGATATTTCACACTAAACAATATATGATATACTGTAAAATACTTTATTTGGAATTCATTTTCGCTATTTCTGCTGAAGGAATGTTTCAGTGAAAATAAAATCCAGCGAGTATACTTTTTTCCTATATTTTACATTCAACTTGTCAAAAATTCAGTGAAAATAAATTCCATATAAAACACTCAAAAAGTCTTTTCAGCGAAAATTTATTCCAGCTTAAATAAAGTAATTTAAAGTACACACTGAACAACTTCAATTTGTGAATAATACGTAAATCGTACAACTGTACTGTACTTATTGCTGCAATATGAGATATTCAGACTGGATATCAACAATAACTTTCATTGTGCAATAACAATAACTGTAATGACGACTGAAAGTTTATTCGAAAAAATATCGCTGAGAAGGGTAATCAGCATATGATTTGTATGCAAACTTTTGTAAAATCACGATTTCTCAACGTTGACGAATAGATCACCTGATTCAGTCGCGTTGCATGGTAATCATTTTAGTTATGCTAATGGCTGCATTTCCAGTCAATCTTCAATTAGGAGCTTGTAGTACTACAAAGTTTTTCTCTAAAATCAACTGAAGGTTGTGAAATGACCAACTGTTTCTTTTATTCATTATATAGAATAGCGACGTTGGATACTGTGATCTTGGTGGATCTTATGCTGGACCTACTCAGAACAGACTTTTCAGGATTGCCAAGGAAGTTGATGTAGATAATTACATATTACCTGATAAAGACCAAAGTGTTTGGTTAGAGAATGTAAGTTAATGTATATTTCTATTTATTTATTTATTTCATTAAGTTTGTTCACTGGCATTCAAACTATTAAATACGATTTAAAAATGTATCACGTTTTTGTGTCACATAATTGTTTATTTTGAATTTTTAGATTATTTGAGGAATATTTTTGGAGAAAAAAACTGTTTAAAAACATGTAAAAATGGGCTTCTTTGGAAATATTTCCCAAGGATTTCATGTTAACGTCTTTAGTGCCATGCAACATTTGTCTCGATACATAATTTAAAATAAATCCGCATAGTTTTACTCATATTTTTTCTTCTCCAAAAATTTTGACTAATAGCCATTAATTAAGTCTATTTGGTCCAACATTAGCAAAGGAATTATAGAATAATACATAAATGTCTGTAAAATCTTATTGCATTCATTCGCTAGTGTGTAATGTGTAAATAGCTGATTTTAACATAGAGCTCTATGGAACAGATGCGAGTTTCCTCCCACCCCAAACGCCCTCTACAGTTCAATTTCCTATCACATAACTCAATTAATATTTAATTTAATGTATTTTGATGTGTACAATGAGTGAAGAATAATTTGTGAAGAATTGCTTTTCAAAATTCAATTATTTATTACCGGTAAAATTAATGTCTTTTTCTGTTTTAAGAATTCCTGCCGAAAGGGAGTCATCTAATGTGTTGTAAATCACATGATGTACTGGTTTTAGTAGTTCTGGTTATCGCTTTCAAAAAACCATCATTTTTCTTGTCAAAAATATTTAACATTTTTCTGTATTTCCTTTGTCACTTTTTTGACTAAATGGCGATTTCCAAAGACACTGTAAAATGCCTAATTTTCACTGGGTTTAAATTTTGCGTATATTTAGTGGGTTTTAAATTCACGCTTTTATCAGTTAGATAATGTGTTCCGTGCTAATTTTTACATATTCACTGGGTTTTAATTTAGTGCATTTTTCAGTCAGCGAAATAAGCAAAATTAAAACCCAGTGAATATTTAACCCCTTTACAGTATGTAATTTGGAGAAAAGTGACTATAAAGTTGAATCTTGCAAATTTATTTGCTTTGATGACTGTGTTTTCCTTTTGGGCAAAAATAGTTAACAATGAGAAGAAAACTACACAACAATTAAGAAAAATTAATATTCTCTGTATATATTTTGAGTCAGGATCATAATTGATGTAATATGACTTATTGATATTATTCATTTTTACCTTGCCCGTAACATCAAAGATGGAAGGGAAAGGTATATTAAGGGAAAAATTTCTGTCCGGCATTGTCGTCGTCGTCGTTGTCGTCATCGTTAATAATGTTATTGTGTGCACAATAACTTTACTAATTCTATTCCAAACTTTATCAAACTTGGTCACCTTATTCATGAGTATAAAGTCTGCCCTGGGTATGAAGAACAGATGTCCTGTATGAAAATATCACGCAAAAAT